TCTCTCTCTCTCTCTCTCTCTCTCTCTCTCTCTCTCTCTCTCTCTCTCTCTCTCTCTCTCTCTCTCTGTGTGTGTGTGTGTGTGTGTGTGTATGTATGTATGCCGTGTGTCTTCGTTTCCAGAGTATGCTTATGTGATCACCGATGTTGTATGTATGTCGTATGCACCCACTGCTCGGAGGAGTGTAACAGGGGTGGCGCTGGGCAGCCATGGCACAGTGGTGACGGCGGTGGCGGCGGAGATTCCCCGCTGCCGCTGCCAATGTACAACATTATGTGGCCGGCACGTACGTCAAGCTGGGGGGCAATCTCTAGAAGTGGTCGCTTTCCCACATGGCGCTCAGCAGGAGATGACGTGGCATTAATGAGCTGGTCGGTAACACACGTGGCAACGCCAGAAGGCCTGAGGGATCCGTCGAAGCTTCAGGTCCAGAATTGTCGATCCGGGACAGGAGTGACCTTCTTCAAAGGGCTTGCGCATGCTTTGTCCTTTAGCAGATCGTTTGGATCATCATCACGGACATCGGAGGGTACAGGGGGTGAGCTCCCAGCATCAGGTGCAGTGGAGGGGGTACATGGTCGTCGTCCCATCGTGGCTGTGGGGATCTCAGGTGGTGTGGACTCTTCTGTGGCTGCCTGGCTTCTCAAACAGCGGGGTTTCGAAGTGGTGGGCTTGTTCATGAAGAACTGGGATCTGGCCGATGAGAAAGGAGGTGGTCTTAGTTGCGGGATTGATAAAGAGCTGGAGGACGCTAAGAGAGTTTGCCATTGTCTCAACATACCCCTCCACGAGGTGGATTGTGTGCAGAGGTATTGGGTGGACGTGTTTGAGTCCTTTGTGTCAGAATGTGCCGCCGGCCTGACACCCAATCCTGACCTTACGTGCAACAGGCACATCAAGTTCGATGCTTTGCTGGAGCGGGCGTTCAGCCTTGGGGCAGATGCACTTGCCACTGGCCACTATGCACGACTGAGAAGACGCGAAGAGGATGGGAAAATGGAACTCCTGCGTGGTCTAGATGACGACAAGGATCAAAGTTACTTCCTTGCCTCGGTTAATCAGCAGGCATTCCAGAGGGTGATGTTCCCCGTGGGCGGGATGAGGAAAGCAGAGGTGAGGGAGGTGGCATCAGTAGCCGGTCTTCCAACGGCTGACAAGAAAAGCAGTGTCGGGATTTGCTTCATCGGGAAGCGGCGATTCGGCGAGTTCATTTCGGACTATGTGGAGTTGGAGCCCGGACCCTTTGTGGAGGTGGAAAATGGAGCAGTAGTTGGAAAACACGGAGGGATCGCATGCTATACTATTGGACAGAGGGCGAGGATCGGGGGCGCAGCTGACGCTTGGTTCGTGGTTGGCAAAGATGTCCCAAAGAACGTTGTGTTTGTGGCCATGGGAAAAGATAACCCAGCACTTTTCTGCAGAGCTGCAGCCCTGGCAGATCCCTTTTGGGTTTCCGGAGAGCCGCCCAAAGAGTTGGAGGAAGGGGTTTGGAATGTTGGTGATGGTGGTGGCGGAGTTGCCAACCGAGTCCTCTGCAGCGAGTACAAGGCAAGGTACAGGCAACCGTCAGCTCCATGTAAGGTGGAGATGATGGGCGATCCCTTGAGGGTGGCAACAGCCTGCTCAGACCTTAGAATCACTCGATCCGATACATCTCGTCTGCCAGAACCAACGGCTGAGGATGTTCTTTCTCCTAGTGCATTCTGGAAGCCAGGAGTGGACCATGAGCGTCTTGGACCATCCGGGTCGGACAAAGGGTCGCACAAAAACCATTCCGGTTTTCTGAAGGTCCAGTTCGAGACGCCCGCCAGGGCGATCACTCCCCGCCAGGCTTTGGTCCTGTACCAGGGTGATGTTTGTCTCGGAGGGGGATTAATCTTGTATCCGGGTCAAACTTTGCTGGAAGAACAAATGGGCGCTCATGAATCCGACCTGCCGGAATCCCACCTTTCGGAAAGTACTCTCATGGCAGGGAGATAAGGAGAACGCAAATCTTCATGTTCTAGCCCAAAAGGGGTGAAGTAAATGTCATTTGCGTTTTATCGTAGCCTCAGAGATGCTAAGGACACACCCTCATGTTTAACCTAGAAGTCGCGAAGAAGAACCCCCATGTTTTAGCCTTAAAAGAGATGGTGAAGAGGGGTCATTTGCGGTTTGTCGTGGCATCATAAATGCTGTGGACAAACCCCCATGTAGGGATTATGGCTGTATATGACCGCAGTTATGGACAGATTCTGCAAGAAGGGAGTCCTACAGTAGTGGGAGTACGCCCTAAATGGTCTCTCTTGTTTAGTTTAGTAGCTACATTGGTTTCTCATTACAGTGAAGAAGTCTTAAACATCTTGTGTGAAAGCCATGGCTAGTGTAGATGAAGCCAGAACAGCTGAGTATTTCATGATTCTGTCTTTGCATTAACCTTTCGACCCTTTCCGGGCCAATTGAAATGCATTTGCAGAATAGCGGGAAATGTATATATGCTGAGGAAAGAGAACTGAATGACATTGTGTTTTGTTTAGGGTTTAGGTCTCATAAGGTGAAATGGGAGCATAGTTGGAACTTCCTTGTAATTTTATTTACGCCTCCCCCCCCCCCTCTGCCCCTCCTCCACCTTCTCCCTCCCCGATTCCCCCCCAACACACACCCTACCCATTTCCTCAGGAATCGAGGGTGGTATTATGTTCTCTTGAGGGAATGCTCTTTAAGTTCAGCCTCCTCACGAGTCTGTGAAACTCTGACCAAACAGTTTGTCACAGCCCCTCGTTTGTTGTCCTCTTCTCCCTCTCTGCCAACTGTTTACCGGGCAGTTCTGTTTTACAATGTATATATCATGCATTGTCCAATTTGTCTTATGACATCTGCCGCAGAGAGCAGCTTGTGCATGGTGTTGCTATTTTGACATTGGGTATTTAAACCACCAGTACTTGGCCCAGCTATCGATGCCGAGCCTGAAAACGGTCTGCACGCCGTTTCGCGCCAACCCGCCAGCGCAACAAAAACAAATTGTTTGGCTCGCGGCACCAGCCTTTGAGGGCCGGTACCCTGAGCCTCCGGAAGTTGTGGGGCGTTAACGACAACACCCCGCGGCCGATGTATGGGCCCAGTACTGGTGGTTTAAATGTTCTACTTCTTTGTGAACATTTGATGAAGAGCATGATTGATGAAGTCTCAAGTGATGTGCTAAGTTACTGGTCGGTCCAAGTTATCCGACCACAAGCGTGAAAATCTCACTTAGGCCTCTGGGAGATTGATCAAACATACCCTAAGCATTAGAGGGCAGGGACACACCCGTGCAAGACGGGAGTGGAAGGTTCGAATCTTGTCAAACATACCCTAAGCGTGAAAATCTCACTTTGGCCTCTGGGAGATTGATAAAATGGTCACGGATACGGATATGATGTATCCTGCAGCTATCCCCAAAAGAACAAGGTCTGCATCTTGTGTGTACGACCTGTTTGAACCTGTTTGAAAAATTGCATACCTTTCTCAGATCACGCACGTTCTCATGTGATGGATGGCCCTAGCATATGATACAGCAGATGGGAAATGTTGTCGACATGGGTGGCAAGCATTGAAGCCTTGCTGTGAATTTGCACTCCTTTGAGGCCTGTTTGTTAGGGAACTCCTGAGTGTGCCAACTGGTACCATAGGAACCAGAACTCTTCAAACTCTGTCAGAAAGTGGGGATCGTAAGTTTCGGATATAACTTAGCAATTGCGACTATGAAATGAACTTTTTGAGAAAGTCTACCTAAACTCAGACAGTCACAGTGCAGATTTCCGAGATGCAGAAAGTTTCGCATCAGGCAGGCCAGGCCTGAGAGTGAACTTACTTCCATACCAAGTCACCCATGAACCTCAGAGCCGGTACGCCTCTGATTTCCAGATCAAAAAGTGGAGCTTCTGTGATTTCCTATTCCTTCAAGCCAGGATCTGCCTTCACTAAATCCAGCGCACGGAGTTGATCCTTTCTCTTTATGTTACAGATATTGCACTCGGTCGATGACTTCGGCATAATCTGATTCACAACCAGCCTCTTCACTGGGGCTCCCTCTTTTTCCAGCGATTTCGGGAGCCGTGAGCTCTCGCTCACTGCCATAACCGTTGGGATAGTTACAATCACGAACTCCGTAGATTGCTTATATCTGAAGATCTCCCTCACCATTAGCATGCGGTCCTTCAGAGCCTCCAGCTTCTCGGTCGCTGTGTCTCGTGAGTCATCACCTTGGCCAAACAAGGACTTCACGGCCGTGGTTGCTTGGGGAAGCTTTGCCTTCAGCTTCAGAATCTTCCCGATGGATGCTTCAAGACAATCTGGGAGTGAGAGTAACCTCAGCGTATGGCCCGTCGGTGCCGTGTCAAAGATGATTTGAGTGAATTTCTCATATTCTGGTGCCTGAACAAACTGAACAACCTTGGGTATTGCCACTGCTTCATCAAGACGGGTGTCAAGCGGCTCTCAGGCCGGTACTTACCTATGGCCGTGACATTGAGGGTTGCGGCGGGAAAACACTCAAGTGGTGGGGAAAGAGGTCCGCGACACTTGAGAGCAGTAGAAAACACGCAAGTGGTAGGTAGACCGGTACCCCACCAAGTAGGGGTAGATGTGCCGGGTACTCGAGGCCGAGCAGAAGAAGACAAAAGTTTGCATTTTTAGATGCCCAGTACTGATAGGCAGGTACAAGCAGCCTGAGTCTAAGGCCTGTGCGAATAATATCAGAGTCCGCAATGATGTTTCCCTCCGAAAGGGATGGGGTACCGGTTGTCTGGACGGGTCAAGCGGTCAGGATGTTACCGCCCAGGAGGCAAATGCCTCTCTACATATGGGAGGCCAAGCGTGAGCCTCAACTTCACGTGCGGTATACTAGTAACGACAGAGGTACCGCTCGAGCAAGTGCTAGGAATCCGGGCGCTATTGCAAACCTGATGATCCACCCACTTACAATGACCGGGGCGTATCTTAATTTATTCTGACTAACCTTTTGACGGTTAAGTCTCAGCGTGTGTCGTAGATCTTCTCGACATAACCCTAACCTAATCAACCCCTCGACCTCGTCAAGCGTAGGGTATTACTTTCGATCCTAACCATCAAAGCACGCGTCTTAATAACGCGTGCGCATACCAAACAAGATTTTCTCACCGATTTGCCCCAGCCTAAATGGTCGAGGAAATCGTTTCAAAGTGTCGTGTGAAAAACACACGAGCCTTGAACTTCGCACCGGCCCTGTCTTGGTAGCCGATGTCGTCGCTGTGTCGACTTGCAAAAGCATGGCCAAATATCCTTGTAAGGGTATTTGGTCCGACAATGTGTTCATCTTGCAGGGAATGATGGAACGAGCGAGTGAGCGATGGCAGCTAGAGGCAGAAGCACGAGACATCATTAGTTGAAGGAAATTAAATCGTTGGACTAGAGTGGAGCAACGCCTCGATTGGATAGTTCAAGTTTGGAGTTGGTCTGTGATGGAGAGGAGCAATGAAGAAGATCATTCTTGCGCTGAATGAATGGTTGAAACGAAACAATGTTGAAAGGAGTTGTATGCCATGTTCTGACTTGGATTGTTGTCGTTCATAAGCAGCCAGTGGCTAGTCGAGGTTGAGAGTCGCTGCCGCACGTCTGATGTCGAAGGTCATCCATTAGTGTCACCTTCCACCGCGGATGTTGTGGTAAATTGCTTGAGCGAATGCTTTCGGTTACTGGGAAGGGACGGAGAGAAGGATCCCTGCCAAAGTAGCAGGGTAAAGGTTTATAGGAAGGAGTATTGAGAGTATGCTTTGCAGAGGGAGGTAGTGGAAGAGTCTGTCTGTCCTTTGCGGTGGGAGAAATTGAAAATCGTTCTAGATTATAGTAAGAAAAAAATGAAGATGTTGAAAGGTTATCTTGAGGCTGACGCATATCGTGACGGGGGGCCATTTTTTTATTTATAGGAGAGCTGGCAGCGATGCGGAGAGGGCTTAAGGTTGCAATACAAAGAGACAAATATGGAAAGAAAGGTTATACGCCCCGGATATACGAAAACAGATCGGTGGGGGGGTCGGTTCTTAATATGATTACGTGATCCTTAGGCGGGGTGTGAGACATTCTTGGGATGGGTGCCAGACATGATTTGCTGTTATGGGTGTATAGGTCAAGATTTGAAAATTGGATACCTCTTTAGACCGATGGGGGGGGGGGGGGGGGGGAGGATGAGCGGTGGAGGGTTCAACAAGCAAATAAAGAAATGGTTTAGTGAGGCAGGGGTATATGAAGGTGGGAGTGGTCATAGCTTTCGGATAGAGGGCGTACAAACAGTGATAAAGGAGGGGTGGAGCTTGGGAGAAATGATGAAACAAGGGACTTTGACACAAATTGGAATCTTTATGTGATATGGGCACGGGATGAAGAGAGGTTGGAAACGAGCAAATGAGGGAGAATGCAGGGGTGGCCTAGGAGATAAGCAAGATGGCGGTGAGACCAAGGATAACAGGATTGGGGACGAAGGTGTGGACTCAGGGACTGGGGAGGCAAGAGTAAGTGGATTGGGGAATGCTGAGTGAGGTGACCCTCGGATATCAAGAGGTCCTTTGAGAAAAAGGTTGAATGAGAAGATAATGACTCAAACGTAGATTGATTTTGGAAAGGACATGGTGAAGGAGGGATGCCGTGGAAAAAAAACACTTGTATATTGACGAAGGAAATAGGTTCCAATCAAGAGATAAAGCGTTTATTTGAGAGGCTTTGCCCGACCAATCTTTGGACATGAAGGTAGGGCAGACATGGTGATAGTTTGAGGCAAAGATGACAATGGTTGGGGTGCCTAATTCAGAGAATATGCTTACCTAAAGATGATCAGCGAGACCCCAATCTGTGTTATTTACAATTTTGGAAATAGAACTGGTGATCGTATTAAGTGTTATGGGGGTCCAAATTGAGCAATGTGTCAAATGATATCAGAATAGAGGCGATATCTCGGAGCCAAGTGTTGAAGATTTGGTCAGTGGTTTTCATGCGAAGGAGTAAGGTTGAAGCGACTTGACTGCAAGAGTAAAGTCAAATGGAGGCCGAGA